CTGTCGCCGCAATTTATATTCTTACGGGTTCTAAAGTGTAGTGTAGCTTAAAAACAGCGAGCTGCACATTAGTGTGCACTGTAGTGCAACAAGTTAAATTAAAATGCTTTAAATCAACTGTGGATATTCAGTGTGAACCTGCAACAACCTGCAAAGTGTTGTTTTTGTTCTGCGATTGAATGTGACAGTCAGTGCGCCATGTATTAGTCAGAGAGACGTGACTGAACACAACTGCTGCAGCCTCACTGACAATCAGGAGCCACATACACAACCTGATGTATAAAAAAGTGTGTGTTTGTGTGTACTTTCACACACACACACAGTCGACTCTTTGTGTTTCCTTGATTTCAGAGGACATTACTCGAAGTTGCATTGATTTTCTCGACACTTACTTAAACATTAACCAGATTTAGCTTCCCCCAACATGAGTTATACCTGAGCCTCACAAACACACACATAGTCACTCCACCAAGACTTCAGAAGACATTGCATTTACCTACAGTCATTTCCTCTGACCTATTCACCCGTCAACCATATTTATTATTTGTCTAACCCCAACACACACACACACACACACCCTAATCCTGCTGTAAAACATGTTCTCACGTTGACATTTTATGATTTACGTTATGGGGACTTGCTTTTTGTCTGAATAAGGAAGACAAGTCCCCATAGTGAGACAGATTTAGGTTATGGATGTTCTGTCCTCTGGCATGTTCCTGTACCTGCATTCATTCTGCTTCAGTGTGTGGGGGTGCGGAAGGTCTTGGAAATTAATTTTAGTCTGAAATTGAAATGTAAGTAGAGGAAAGTTTCAGTGGTCTGGTTACGGTCAGAATGTAATACTTAGGCCGAATGAGTAAGAGCTAGTCACACCCTGCAGGTCTGGAGAAAAGTTTTGTTGCTTAAGGATAAGCAAAGGTGCCTGTGATTATTCTGGCGACCCATAGTGAGTCACATGAAGGGGGCAGTCTGCAGCTGGTCCTGAAAGGGCTTTTTAAGCACTGCCGCCTACTTGTAGATTTCTGTGTCGTTGTGAACTTGTCTGAGCGCAGTCATCTCCTGCTGCTTCGCTCATGTGGGAAAGGTAACCACAGGAGGAAGTCCAGACCCAATTCTGCCATCATCCTCCGGAGTCCCTTTCTGAACATAGCTTTTGACCACTCTATCTGTTTGATCCTAGGTTCTGTATCAGCCATAATGAAGATCCCCTTATTTTGTCTGTGTGCACTGGTGATGCTGCATGGCCTTGAGGGTGCACTGCCCCAGGCCCCCTCGTATGGTGAACGGGGCTCAGATCTCGGCATACAGGTATTTCAGCAAGTGGCGCGCTCAAAGCCCCAGGAAAATGTAGTGATGTCACCCCATGGAGTGGCTTCCATCCTGGGCATGCTGCTAGCTGGAGCCCACGGTGACACCCGGAAGCAGATCATTAGTGGCCTGCGCTACAAGAAAAATGGTAAGGACAATTCCTGACTGTAGAGATTAAGATTCACATTAATATAAGATTGAGAAATAATTTGTTAAATCTGCACAGGTCCTTATAAGATGTTGAAGAAACTGCACAAGACCCTGACAGCAAAGTCCAACCAGGACGCTGTGCTGATCGCCAATGGCATTTTCAGCCAGGAGGGTTTCCCCATGGAGGAGTCCTTCGTAGCCACCAACAAAGGCAACTTCCAAAGTGAGAGCAGGAGCTTGAACTTCAGCAACCGCGAGAAGGCAGCCAATGAAATCAATGAATGGGTCAACAATAAGACCAAAGGTAGGAGTCATGGAGTGACAGCAGCTGCAAGTTCCCATCAGTTAAGCTTGTTATCCATTGATACATGCCTAAGGTGAGAACATAACTGAAACCTAGAAACAAATTGTCACAGATTTTGTGCCATATCATTTCAGATTAGTGGGAGTGGCCCCAGATTTAACCTAAGAGAATTATTTTTTTATTTTTTTTTAAACAAGCCTGTGTTGATTGGATGTTGCCTCCGTGTTGCATCTTCATTCAGGTCACATCTCCAGCTTGATCAAACCAGACATGCTGGACCCGACACTGACCCGTCTGGTCATGGTCAACTCAATCTACTTTAAAGGCTTATGGAAGTCCCGCTTCCAGCCGACGAACACTAAGATGAAGCCCTTCAAGGCGGGTGATGGGAACGTATATTCAGTCCCAATGATGTCGCAGCTGTCTGTCTTCAACATAGGTAAGTGGTGATGTGTGGGAGGTTTCCACTGAAGGTGCTTTGTGTGAGGTTGTTTTTGCCAATCTGTGTTTGTGTTTGCTTGAATCTCCTTTTTTTTTTTAAATTACTAAACAGATTTACTTAAAACTTACAGGAAGGATGTGGTTTGTGTCTGGGAAAGGTTTGGTGCAGATCCAGTAATCTCCAGTAAAGTCTTCAGCTGAGGAGACACACACCGCTGAAGCGGAGACTTTAGCCAGTTAAAGTTAGTCTCAGGCAGTGAACATTCATTTGTTTTTTTTGGGCGTAGCCTTTAACGATAGGGCCGAAAGTTTGCTATACTGCAGAGGTTCATGATTAAAACAGTTGATTTGATTGGTTTATTTACATAATGGAGTCCAAGATATTTCCAGGTTGAGTCATTGGTCAGTTGGTGTTGGGTTGTAAGGACATGCAGGCCTCGACATGTCACATCCACAGCATAATATTTATCCCTGTGTGAAATGAAATGATACTGCAGTCAGATGTCTATGTTTAGATGTGGTGTCAGAGCTGTGTTAGCATGGTGAGCGCTGTGAGTAGTTTCCCATGCAGTGCTGGAGTTAGACTGAGGCCATGCTCAGCTGTGAGGCACAGATGTCTCTGATGTATCCTGAAGTGTGTTTGTTGACTCTTGTGTGGAAAGTCTGAGAATTGTTGCTTTGATCCTTGTCCCCAAAATAGCTGAATAAAAAGTTAAGTTTGGCCTGAACCTAGATTTAACAGGCCTAAATCACGTGTGTGTGGCGTTATAAACTTGTGTTTTATGAATTTGGGATTTACATGTTCTCTTCTTCTTCACTGTGCTGTGATTTATTTTAATGACCATTCAACTTCTGGCCATGAGTGTCTGTGTAAGCACAGTGGAATTGATTCTTGGTGTGAGAAAGTTACTGCTGTGATGTCTTTTTTGATCCAGCTGTTTAACTGCACATATGTCCTTCTTATTTTGAAGCTAACTGTCAAACTGTGTAAATTTTAAATTTTTATTTAAACAGTCAAAGGACCATGTTGGCTTGCTACTCCCATAAACCAACTGATAGAATGCATTGGTGTTCCAGACACTGTTTTGCCTTTGATTTAACGAACATCTGCTGTCTGCAAGGTCTTTTCTGAGGAAGAATCTGTTGGCCCTCAGGAAATGGTGCATTTTCCGCTCCCAGTTAGATTAGACTAAATAAAAGCACTGAGCAGTGATAACAGCCGTGGTCTGAGGGACAGCAGAAAACAAACAGCAACACAAACATTCTGCAACAGTAGATCTTGGCAAAAAAAAACAGGTTTTATTTCATTTTTCCTGCATCACAATGAAACAGAGAAATATGTTCTGTAGTTTTAATACATATTCTAAATTACTTGTCAAGTAAAAGCAGGAGGTTTCTTAAGAATTACCTTGGATGTCAGTCAAAGGTTCAACAAATATAGAAAAAAATGTGTGTATTGATCTTTGATCATCATCAGCATCACTGTGCCACTTTGAGATAGTTTACACCACCAGCACATCACTAGTGGTTGTACTGACTGCCTTCATTTTTGTGCTCTGCTGTAAATTTTGTGCCATTATTTTTATCCATGAGAATCAATCA